AAAAAAAAAAAAAAAAAAATTCAACATTGTATTTTGTCCGGACCAAAGCAAGTGAACTAGCGGATTTTCCTGGTGTGAATACACCCTTAATTAAACCTACTCTGATCCATCCTGGTCCCTAGTATCAAAGCATACAGTTGTAATTCCTGTAAAAATACATTTGTCACCTTTGAGCAGCATTAAACAGATACTTAAATGCCACTTCAGAATCATTTCTGTGCCACATTTGCAGTGTAAATTTGGCATTTGTGTTCTAAAGTCGCCTCAAATAGTCTGTGACCATCATACACTACGTGATTTTCTATGAAATCTGTCAACTCAAATCTGCAGTCTGCCTCTGATTTTTGGCAACTCTAGCGTAAACTTGTCCGGATTATAAATCAGGGCAAAACTTCGGGCAAAATTTGTGTATTTTTGTGCATTTCTGCCTTTAACCAAAGCAAATGCTAAACAAACTGCTAAAATTAAAAGAGCACTTTTCATAAAATATTTTCTCAGAATTCAGTACAATTCAAATCAAATTTCAATTACCAGAAAATCTATAAAAATCTGCAAGGATAATCTCAAAACATCGATAATACATGCAGCTGACACACAAATGATTCTTTGCAATGTAATATAATACAATTTTGAAAATATGAAAGCACATTGTATTATATAATAGCATAATAATATAATATAATATAATAGCATGCTCTAATGTAGACAAGACATATATAATATTAAATTAAAATTCAATTAAAAATAGTAAGAATTTGGACACCAAATCATTAGAATGATTTCCGAAAGGATCTTGTGACACTGAAGACTGGAGTAATTATGCTGAAAATTCAACTTTGCATCTCAGGAATAAATTACATTTTAAAATATATTAAAACAGAAAACTAAATAGTAAAAATATTTTACATTACTGTTTTTAAAAACATTACTGTTTTTACTGATTTTTGGATAAAATAAATGCAGCCTTGATGAACATAAGAGACTTATTTCAAAAACATTAAAAAAAAAAAAACTTACCAACCCTAAACATTTAAATGGTAATCTAATCTATTATAATATAATTTCATATCATTTTTTTAATTAACAGAAAATGTACAATATTCTCTGACACAATTCCTTTGTGAAAAACATTGACTCTTTTGAAATAAACATTCAGAGCACACAGCTACACCAGCTATTCACTGTCAATTATTTACCAAAAATCACAATTGGCCACAATTCCTGCAAGTTTCCTGTTTTTTTTCCTTCTATATTGCACCACATGAAACTTTCTGTCCTCATCTGCTATTCATACAATAACCCGACACAAGGGCGTGTATTTCGTGCATACTGATTACGGAATATTTTTCCATGTCGACCTGAGACGGTTTACTGAGCAGAAGAAACTAGAGATGAGTTTTAGGAGAAGGATGTAGTCATGTCCTTCCCTGTCAGCACTTTCTTCTCAGATCGATAAAAGCTGACTGTTCATCCACTGATCAGCCTGCTCTGCATTCAGATGTTGAGCGAGAGGGGGGGAGGGATGAGGGGCCAGGCACTTTAAACTGAGGAGACCTTCTGGCATTCACAAGATCAAACTTGCTCCATGTGAGAATAACTCCCTCTGCCTGCAGTCACAGTGTGTTTTAAAGCAGCAGTGTTAAAGAGAAGTGATCCACGCTTGTTT